TGAACCGTTTCAAGACCAACATACACCGACATTTCCGCGCACTTGCCGCTTCTCGAGCGTGATAGGACATTTCCTTGCGAGTGCGCATATCCGTAAAAAAAAAAAAAACACTGATCAATGCATCTCATGTATTCCACAGTATTTCCATCCCAAGAATCGCAACTGATTGCCAATGATTTGCAGATATTTTTGTATGATTACCAGGTGATTTCAATTTTTTCTGGGGATTCCTATATCATTCCCAATTGATTAGGTACCTAATTTCCTACAATCATCCGATTTCCAGCTGATTTTATCACAAAAACGATGTCCAATTGTTAAGCTTCGCATTAATATGACCAAAATAAACAGTTTTTTTTTTCTTATAAAAACACGTTTCCACTAAAAAAGTGGCAAATTCTGTATTTGCAACTCTTTCCAAAAGTTAACAACTTTTATTTTTATGGCTGTCCACACCCACACAGATTTTGTTGTAGGTAAAAATAGTTGTTGAGCCCTAGATACCATTGCGTGTCTACACTGCATAATATGGATGTAAAATAATGGATATTTCTTTGACTTCACTAGGATGTTCATCTAAATCAGAGACATATTCAGTTAGCGTTTCAGTCGCCAAACTTATTTCTGATTCAGATGTGCTATCGTCTCTGCTTCTCGCCATGCCGAGTATTTATTCTACTTTCCCTTTTCAAGTTCTTATTGCCTTGAATTCTCGACTTTTTCTTTTGTGTATTTCTCAGGGACATGCCCATAGCTCTTAATACTCGATCGACAAACGTCCCTGCTTCTCTGAAAAGAACCAAATTGAAGTTGAGTCCTGAATGATCTCTTAAATGTAGCGAATCGCAATTGCTAAACCCCGATGTGTGAAGAAATTCTGTGTCTTCTTTGGGCAAGTCGGAATGGAGAGAGGTTTCAAGATTCATGTTTTCATTTCTATGATCTACAACATTGTCATACTTTAGGTCTGTTCTCACAGAAATCACAAACCAGTCCGAATTTAATTGGTTGGAAATAGTCAGAAAACTGATTGTTGGCGATTTGCACCAATTCAAAAAACTCGGACAGGTTTGTGATTTTTGTGAAAACAGAGCTAATCTTCATCTTGTTCTTCTTCTTCAAGTTCTCGTAGTCTCGGGTTTAGTTGTTGGCTTAGTAATTGGGAAACTCGGGATATCAAATTCATTTCAAATAGTCTAGCGATTAATGTTGCCTAAAACTTAGTGTTAGAGGCAAATACACAACTGATCAGTACGCTGTATCGTTCAAAATGATGTATGACATGCGATTTCTGGATTAGAATGAGATGATATTTCCAGCGATTACCACATGATTCTCAGCGATTGCCAATGGATTCTTATGTAATTCCCGTGGAGTCCTCGGAGATTCCTAGCGATTCCCAGGGACTCCCAAATGATTTTCATGTACCTATTCCTGATTGATTACTATGTGATTTCCAAAAAATGTACAATTATTTCCACTAGTGGTTTATTTATTTATTACAGTCTTTAAGACACAAACGCAACAAGTCCAAAAATAGTATCCTGATATTACATTATACAAAAATTCCCGTCGCTCATATCGCAATAAATGTAGCTTTGATATTGCCAGGAAAGTAATGGATCAAGAGAAAATGCACATGTTGTGTTAAGGAGAAGACCTCAGAAGTTGTGTTTTGGCTGTGCACTTGTGCTGATATTCTATGAAATCCCTGAAAAATTAGGAAGATCTAGCGAAATCTTGGGAAATTGAGATTTGAAGAAATCTTAGGGGTAATATGGGATATGTAAAGGAAATCTGTGGATATCATCTGCATAAAGATATCCTTTCTACTTACAAATGTTGTGACCTCAGTTGTGACTAACCTCTCAATGGAAATGGTTTAGTCCCGGGTTTAGTATATCAGAACAGGCGAGAAATGTGATGATGCTTATTCAGGATTTACCGAGGGACTTACTTATAGAGGGGCTGGTAGGCCCTAGGAAATATTGTACATTTTTCTACAGCCTGTTCTGAAAGAAATACGAGACCTTTTCATACATTTCAACAAAAAAGCTGTGTTGCCATTTGTATTTCAAAAACCAAGTCAAATGGAGCCAATGGAGGTTTGGCATTTAGGGGTTTTAGTAATGTTGAGACGCTGAATTAGTTACAATAAAAATAAAAAGACTTTCATTTTAAAAATTAAGTTACATAAGGCATTTTGGAAAGGGTAAACTTGATAACATTGCAAATACCACCATTAAATCGGGCATTCCTCCTAAAAACCGCCAGGTAGGAAATATTATACATTTTCCAGAAATATTAGACTGTTTCCATAGATAATGATAACCCTGCATAATTTCTTTTTTCAAAATTTTCCTAATTCCCATAGGAACTAACATATTATCATCTTTATTGCTAATGGTTTCTAGAGATACAAATTAAAAAAGATTCGGCAACATGAAGACAAACATTCAGCTTTATTCTGAAGTTCATTGTGCTAGGCTAGGTAACAAAACAAAAGTTCACCGATTATCAAGTTTCTGCTTTGTAGTACAATCAATGAACTCAAATGATTCCAGAATGAGATAGCTACTTCATCGAGTACAATATATTAGGTCTGTTCGCAGAGAAATCACAAACCAGTCAGAGTGAATCTTATTGGTTGAAACTAGGTTTCGGACTGTTTCTGATTGTTTTCAACCAATGAAATTCGCTCTGACTGGTTTGTGATTGCTGTGCGAACAGGCCTAATAATTTGACACAGTGATTATTATTATTATTATTAAATCCTTTATTTAGCATGTTTTAGAATAATTTGCTAATGAGAAATTTGGCATCCTCACATTTTTGGGTCTCTGACGTCACAGACCTAGACCGCGTTTCGCAGCAGTTTAAAAAATTGATTTTAAAATCATTTTATTTTCAAAAATAAGCGGGTTTTTTTTTTTGGAAAAAAGTACCTATACCCTCGCCTATACCTACAGATGTTATTAGAATAACCTCGAGAATAACATAAAAATTTAAATATGTTTTCGAAAAATGTGAAAGTGGCCTATTTGAAAGAAATATTAAGAACTCTTGCGAAAAATTAAGATTTATTTATTTAGGAAAGAAACTAGAACATGTACAAGTGATCTCAGAAAACTTCAATTTAGGGAAAGGGATATTAAAAACCTTGTTAAAAACTGATCATGAAATAGCAGAAAATCTTTATAAGAAACAGCAATTGTAAGTACTGTGAATGGGCCTTTAGACTCTGTTGAAAGTTCCTGAGATGATCTAACTAGTCAGGGCGGGTATTAGTGCCTCTAGATCAATCCTTTGGTAAGTCTTTGTTGAATGACGTTACTTCTCATGTAATTCCAGAAGTTAACTTTTAGTTAACTGCCAAAGTAGTTTTATAACACCCGCCCTTAGACAAATAACTACTTGAATAACTATAAGTTAACTTGAAGGATTGCATGTTACATCATTCTAGAAGTTACACATGGTTTGCATAAGCCCCAACCAATCACAGATTGTATAAGCCCTAACCAATCACAGATTTCATTAAAGGTGACCTGACTATCAACTGAAAATCAGGTGACCTTTAATCTCGCCTTTAATACAACCTGTGATTGGTTGGAGCTTATGTTTATGTGTTAAGCAAAACTGTATGTGAGTCTGCACTCTGCTGCACACAACAATTTTATTTTGACATTTTCAATTCGTAGATTTTGGTAGATATACGGCGATTTAACGTTCTCTCAATTGACGTTTTCAATTAAAAGAGATGGACAATAAAGTATGAAAACAATCATTTTCCCGCCAACATTTGCTTGCTTGTCAATGTCAGTGTGTATTGGGTGTTTTGAAAGAAAATGTGGGAAAAGTCACTTCTTCATTTGCAGAACTTCGCTATGGAGAAAGCGGTGGATTATTTTGGAAGCAAACAGCTCCCGCAAACTAAACTTGGACGTGGATTACTTTGTATACTTGATAGGCCGTGGATTTCCTTTTTTTTGCGAGTATTCTTTCTGATTTTATGTATCCAAAATTTGACAAATGTAGGATTTGATGGAAACTTATGGAAAGACACGTCCGCCGGTAAATAGGAACTATTTTTACAAAAAGGCACACTACACAATCACCATTGTTAGGAAAAAACTTTGGAAAAACCGAGGAAATAATAGTTTCCAGTTTTCACATGTACAAAAGTCTTGTCAACAAACCACTGTCAGCGGCTATCAACCGTTGTTTTCATACTCTTTTGGCGTCTGACAGTTTGACGCCAGAGAGAGAGGCTCTTAAATTGAAAAGGTCAATTTATCGTGCTGTGAGAATTTCACACCTGACAAACGTAAAGGCACATTTACATTTAATTTCCATTCAAATTGCAATCAATCGAATTTGAATGTAAAGGCACCTTCACGGTCGTCAAGTTTGTTATGCCCACGTCGCCATCTTGAATTATCAGCTGATTCGAATTGCCTAATGCGCACTGAGTGTACTTCCATCTCTTTCTCTCAACCTGTTAAAGAAACAGATAGAATTACACATTTTCTTTAATACTACTAACCAAAAACGTCAATCACTAGTTTCAGCCAATGAACTATAACCAAAAACTGGAATGCTAACACATAAGGACGAACGTGAAGCCTAGTGCGGCTGCTGCGGAGGGGATACCTGTTTTTGTCGCACTCATTATGTTAAATGGCGAAAATTGCTTCCAACACGTATTCCAATCGATGAAACCTGTGAAGGGAAATATGACAAAACTTTCGAAAACGTCATATGTCAGCGAGCAACAGAAAAAAACAACATTCCCCCTTGTGGCATCTGTCTTTCATGACTTCATTTTTTTGGCAGATATGGCAATGTGGGCGCATTCCAGTTTTTAGCTATAGTTCATTGGTTTCAGCAAAGATAACTAGAATTTTGACATTAGCTACTGGTACTTCATAATCAAAAATAAACACAATAATTTTTTAATATCCCTTGAAACTAGTTGGATTAATAATTATCAAGATACTTACCATTTACCATTAATAGGGCTCATCAAATATTCAAAAGACATCAAATAAATGTCAAGTAGCCATAATGCAAAGCTTCTAGTAGCCTCTGTCAATCTCCAGGGTCATTCTTCGATCGGTATGCAGCCTCAGTGGAAAAGAAAGAGCATTCGATCTGGTGCAGCTTGTTTGCGGATATTTCGCAAATCCTATCCAAATATTTCCCACAGCAAACCTTAATATATCTGTTAAAGTCACTTGAATACATAATAGAATGAGACTTGAGAAAATACATTAATTCAATAATAGGAATATCCTTAGAAGGAATGTTTCAAAATTTGAAACTCTTTTTAATGTTCAATTGATTAGTCACTACTTTTAAGTATGAGCAAATCAGTGGGTGATCACGTCACAAGATTCCTGGCAATAAATTCCAAGGACTAGAAAAATTATTCTAACCTCACAGTTAGCGAAAAAAAAATTATAAGGCAAAATCACACTGAAATAGAGTCATCATAGGGCTTCTAATAATACGATTTAAAATTAAAAGTTTATAAATCTTCATTTTCATATCGGAATTGAAACGGCAACGTGTAGGAGAATTTCAGGGCTTGCGCCACCCAAAACCAATATTAACCACAGGGTTGCCTTGGAATTTGCGGATATTTTCAATTAGCTGAATGGGGCTTTTGATAATCGTAGTAGGCGAACTTGTCAGCATTCAAGTGGGAATTTATCGGGTGTTGCACTCAACTCGACACTGTAGAAAACACTTTTTCAGCCTTGGCAAGGAAAATCGCCTCGAGATACACCAACACACGACACTCAACACTGCACAGAATGAGAAATGCGAGCGAATGCAGGACACTGATCGAATGTTGCAAAAATTCTAGGATAATAATCGACGCCGACAACGACATCTGTAGGAAATGAAATGAAGTACACAAGCGCGGGAAATTATCGACCGATGGGCTTGTGTATCGATTCATTGATTGATATTCGTAGTTATCGATACGGTATTCTTCCAAAACCTACTACTTTTTCATATCGATACTTTCAGATACACTTGGCCAAACAAAACTGGTACAGGCGATATTTTTCAGATTTGCCTAGTGTGAGTCAGGCCCTTGAGCTAAAGAGCTGTTTTCTCGCGGTGGAACTGGTTTGACCCGGTTCAATTATGTTCGAACCTGTACATTCTTGCATTGAACCAGTGACGTCACATTAAACCTGGTTCAAAAAAGTTCGAACCGGACTCATGGCTTGTTCTCCGTTGCCATAAGACTGTGGTTCAAACCTCCCATTTTCTTGCCTTAACAAGTGATGACGTCTTCTACAAATTGGTTTAAACCGTAGTTCGAACCATTCGCCCCGCGAGAAAACGCCTTAAGTCAGACAGTTTTTGTCAATAGGCGATTTCGCCTCAGTTTGGAACCCCAGTTTGGTCTGTCAAACATGTACCAATCAATATCGGATAAGAGAATGATGCTGGTGTGCATCGATGTGACGCCCAGGGTGATTTCGAACGCACCCCTGATGTTATGTTTGGTTCAAAAATGACACTGACTTGAGTTGTTTTCTCGCGGTGGAACTGGTTCGATCCGGTCCGATTAGGTTCGAACCTGTACTTTCTTGCGTTGAACCAGTGACGTCACATTAAACCTGGTTCGAAAAGTTCGAATTGGACTCTTGGTTTGTTCTCTGTTGACATAAGACTGTGGTTCAAACCTTCTATTTTTTCGCGTTCATAAGTGATGACGTCATCTACAAATTGGTTTAAACCGTAGTTTGAACCATTCGACCCGCGAGAAAACGCCTTTGACTCTTTTCATTTTTGAAGTGATAAAAAAGGTCGATTTACACAATACAACAAAATAGGAAAATGCGTACCAGTTTTATGTTTGGTCAAAGTCAAGTGTACAGTCGTGAGCATACCAATGGCATGTAATATTGACAGTTGAGTTGAAGAGGGCGCTTCTGTACTTGGATCTCTTTAAATTTTGGCGCGTAAAAAATCGATTGTAATTTTAACCTCAAAACTTAAGTTTGATGTGTGGTTTCAAGACAAGCTGACGCTGACACTTTTGAAAATATTCTCTAAGGGCCACTGAACACTTTGGAAGATATTTTAACTTATGCATTGTCCATTGTTCATATGTAATCATCTTTCCTTCTAATCAATTTAATCGGTTTAAAACTATTGACATTTCCCGCCAAAATTTAAAGCACTCCAAGTTCACTCGCGCCCTCTACAAAATTTTGAGGAACTCAACTGGATATTTGCTGCCATTATTGGTACACCTGACCAATGAACTATAGTCAAAAACTGGAATGCGCACACATTGCCATATCTGCCAAAAAAATGTAGCCATGAAAGACAGATGCCACAAAGGGAAATGTTGTTTTTTTCTGTTGCTTGCTGACATATGACGTTTTGGAAAGTTTTGTCATATTTACCTTCACAGGTTTCATCAATTGGAATACGTGTTGGAAGCAATTTCCGCCATTTAACATAATGAGTGCGACAAAAACAGGTATCCCCTCCGCAGCAGCGGCACTAGGCTTCACGTTCGTCAATATGTGTTCGCATTCCAGTTTTTGGTTATAGTTCATTGCACCGGTGGTTAAAACCGAAAAACCGGTGTTTTCTCTTCGGTTAACCGATTAAAACCACTTGTCTTTTGCTACCAGTTATAACCGGATAACCGGGTTTTATACCTATAACCGGTGAAAATGAAATAAGTAGACTTTTCTCTCGTCTTATTGAATAAATTGTGAAATATTGAATAAGCGATATTAGTTGAAATTTTTCCTCAGTCTTCAGCCGATAGTAGTGCCCATCTCTAGTATTTCATTTCAGTATCGGTTAATTCGTTCAGCAGCTGGTTGTTTTCCATATTTCCCTTATGAACGGAATTGAAAAAGACATACATATAGTTTAAGCCTCATTTAAGCTACAGTTGCGGCCATTGGAATTGGCACAAACTTTAAAGACGCACCTCGTATTGCATCAAAATCTGACTTTTTTAGCAAGCCGTTAATGCCAAAATTGTGTCAAAGTGATAATTCAGTGGCAAACTAGAACAGTTTTATTAGTTTTATTATTTATCTTTCAATCATCATATTACTCACGCCACTGCCTACTTTTGTTGGTTACAGTTTTTGTCAGATTTTGATGCAATACGAGTTGCCTTCAAAAAGTTTGTGCCAATTCCAATGGCCGCAACTGTACATGTCAATGATTCTTGTCAACGGGTAGGTACATGTTTAAAATGACAGCAGAGAAAATCAGTTTATAGAAAAGTGTAGGTATTCTTTGATGCTTTTTCTTAACATAGGTATAACAGTTCCAGATTTTTTTACAATAGAGATATGTTGTTGTTTAACTTATGTTACATTATACAGGGTGTCCTTAGATAAACTGACACATTTTGCAGGTAAATATCTCGAAAACGGGAAAAGATAACGAGATGCGGTTTGTTCTGGGAGAATAAGGGTTTTTTAAAGTTTTTTTTCACATTACTGCCGAATCCTAAAATTTGCTGAAATTTGTTTTTACAGACATGCGATTTTTTGAAATAAAATGACTGCCTTATTTTCAATGAAACACCCTGTATATTTTTTCATCGTCAGAAAGCCTGATTTTTCTACTTTACAAAAATGGTGAATTTTCTTTAATTATGTTTAACTTGCATAGTGAAAATTGCACTTTGTCGAAGAGAATACTATTGACTGGCCAAAACAAAATTGATAATTAATTTTTGTTTAATACTTTTATTAACTAATCAGCGCATATTCAACTAATAATACAAGTATTAAACACAAATTAATTAATAGTGCAAGTGCATATAATACACAAATTAATTATTATTATTATTTTTGGCCAGTCGATGCTACACTCTTCAACAAAGTGCAATTTTTACGATTCAATTCCAAGATAATTGAAAAAAAATTACGTTTTTTTAAAATAGAAAAATCACCCTTTCTGACGATGACAAAATATACCGGGTGTTTTATCAAGAATCAGTCAGTATGTAATTATTTCAAAAAATCGAATGTCTGTCAGGGCCGATCCTAGCAGGTGTGAAGCGCGTGCCCCGCACGCGGGCGGCCAAATTAAGGGGCGGCCGCAGGCCGCCTATAGTTCTGTCATTCAAGATTCAAGTAAAACTTTTTAAGAATTTCTCAAAATAAAACTACTTCTAATAAAGAAATAAGCTGGACTCTAAAAAACTCCTGAAAAATTAAAATAAACTCCGATCTTCCGATAGCATAAATAAAAAGTTTATTGCACAGTCAGTGTGTAGGCTCACGCATAATGTTTTAACTCTTTACACATCCATCATTGGATCGCAAAATTTTTCATATTTTCTAAATACTTTTGCTTTGTTTTTCCAAAATGTTCATTTTGGTTCCTAATTCTGCAAGAATAATTATTAACCGTCCAACAGAACTAGGTGAATACTGCCGCTAACAATGTTACCAACTTTTTTGGTACCAAAGACTTCTAAGTGCAGGTGGGTATGTTATGTAGGTAAGTATTACGACTAGGGAACTAGGGACTGGGGTGTCTTGATTTTCCACTGGGCCTTATTTTTTACTTTCGTATACCCAGGGGCCTGTTTCATAAAAAATATTAGTTCAATAATATTACACATTCATAAACGGCCAAACACCGTCCCATGAACGGATTCGAAACCACTCCGTATACAAATTTCGGATTCTACCACTGATCTCAAAAATAAATGGATAAACAAAGAACGCTTCTAAGGGCTTGAATACTTGGGCAGAAATAAAATACTCGACTCGTCGCAGTTTGGTTTTCAAGAGAGAAAAGGTACCAATGATGCTATTTTCTCTTTTCTGGAAAAGCTTTATTTGAGTTTGAATGATGGTGAGAGGGCCGCAGCGGTGTTTTGTGACTTTTCTAAGGCGTTCGATTGTGTCGATCACCGAATACTGCTGCGGAAATTGAGCCATTATGGAATCAGGGGTAGGGAGTTGGAGTGGTTTAGGTCTTACCTAACTGGGAGAAGCCAATTTGTAAGATTGAATCAAAAGAACAATTCAGAACTCACCAATTTAACGCATGGCGTCCCACAAGGGTCTGTGCTTGGACCGCTCCTCTTCCTGCTTTACGTGAATGATCTGGCTTCTTTGGCGATTTCCGGATTTTTTACCATCTTTGCGGACGATACAACAATTTTGTGGAAACACAGGGATGCTTCAGTTCTAGCGCGCATTATAGAACAAGACCTGGGTATCGTAAAGGAGTGGTGTGACTGTAACCGGTTGGTATTCAATGTGTCAAAAACAAATATTCTTTCGTTTAAGTGCAACTTGGAGAGTGTAACACTTAATGAAAGCGTATTGGAGAACAAGAGCTTCGTTAAATTCCTTGGTTTTCATATAGATGCTAATTTAAAATTTGAACACCATATCCAAACAATGAACAAAAAAGTTTCGCAAGCTTGCTATATTGTAAAAAGCATACGGCAGGAACTAGGCAAACATATGGCAAGAAACACCTATTATGCATTGATAGATTCCCAAATCAGATATGGAATCGCATTCTGGGGCTATGCAACTTTAAGAAATGTGCAATCTGTTTTTGTCTTGCAAAAAAGAGCCGTGAGGTATATTTGCCAAGTTGACTGTAGGCAGAGCTGTAAACCACTTTTTATACAAGAAAGTATTTTGACAGTACCAAGCATATTTGTTTTGGAAACAGCGTGTCTTGTGTTTAAGAGATTTCAAGGTTTTGAAAGAAATTCCTTGCATAATTTGCGAAACAATAACTTACCTTTGCCAATCCCAAAATCTGGCTTAACAAGAAATTCTATTATTTACGAAAGTATCAAAATATTTAATTATTTGCCGAACCAAATTAAATGCCAAAACAAT